TGCAAACCTTGACCATGAAACACGCTCTATGATGACGTGCCCATAAACGCTGCCGGCAACAATCCCAAACATTTACCTGCCAATTAACAGGCATAGAAAATTAGTTAGAAATTGAAATTGCTCAACTACCATATCCCATACTGTCCCGTACCCGTACCCGTGCCCTGCCATCGTCCAGGCCAACTCCAGACCATGTCCAGACCAGATTCAGCTCCAGGTTCCACTCCAGACCGATGGTCAATGGCATTCACTCACTCGCTGTTGTTGAGCAAGCCCCCGAGCTTGTGCGACAGTTACATCTATATATGTGGCCAACAGGTTATCCAAACCGAAAACACAACAAAAAAAACAACCGTTTTGGACCGGCCTCCAGCGGTGAGCTCTCGACCAAAATGGAGCCATTGCTCGCTCTGTCAATTAGCAGCAACGCGACATGACAGTGCACTGAACTTGTTACGCTTCGAAATGTTTGTTCGCTTTTGTTTTCCTCCTTTTTCTGTTTGCTGAAAAACTCACTGTTTATGATTTGTTAATGTTGCGCCGTGCCGCATGTGACACACTTAACGGATAGCTCCAAAATATTCGCAATTAACCCATTTTCCAACCGAATTCTGCGAAGAGACGGGAATGTACGAAATCTTGAGCAGAAATTCTATGGTTTCCAGGAAAATATATTAGCTGATTCGTCAAGGAATATAATAGAGGTACAATTCGAACACAATAATTGATGACAATCTTTTACCTGAGTGTTCTAGCACATTGAGTAGAAATCTAATACAGACAGCTTAGGCGAATAATATCCGAAATCTTTATCTCTTTTTACTACACCTAAAAAATGCCTTAAAGCTCTTTAACTTTAAAGATCAGATCACGCCATCTAATGTATTGACTTCATGTAGAATAAATACTAGAGATGCTGTGCTTGTTTTTATGTGGGATATGATCGAGTCTTGAAAGACGCAAAAAATTTGCAAAAATATAAAATATACGCAATTCGATAGCTTAATTAATTTGTTAATGGTTTTATTTCATTAATAAAATGCTCTCATATGGTAGATACATAAAAAAAATAGTTTTACAAATCATTTCAATGCTGGAGCAATAATAAATTCGTTGGCACAGCAATTGTCCCCCATTGAGAGTGAGAGCGAGTGATTCGTACAGTCATTTCACCAAAAAATTGTCCAATGATAAGTGGATTAGTGGCTGTCCAAAAGTTTAGTGGGTTAGGTCTGGGTTCCCGCGTGCTCCCCACAGCTGTAGCAGTAAATGATGTTTGCATAGAGAGACATAGAGGGAGAGAGAGAGAGCTATTGTTGTTCTCTGGAGAGCAAAAACATCTGTACATATTGGGGAGGTATATAAATATATATATATATATATATGTGCGTCTGTATAGTTGTGTATCATACGTGTGCGTGCTCTGTACATATGAAGGGGAATATGTACAATGGATCAGCAGCGAAAAGCATTTGTGTTTGGTTTGTGAGGCTGCATAGTGCGGAAGCGGACGATGAACAATAAATTAAGTATATTCTGCGGACTGGGAGTGCTCCTCATCTCCATAGCAAGTGGAAATGGACAGACGGAGGTGACATCCACCAACACAACTGAAACATCAACAGTAGAACCTCAAAAACTACTGTTGGCCATCCACTATGAGGCTCTGTGTCCGGATAGCGTTTACTTCATCCGTCGAAGGCTACACGATGCACTGCTGGACAACGACTGGTGGCAATATACTGAACTGAAGCTGTACCCCTTCGGTAAAGCGGGAGTGAGTCTTTAGAGTTTCAATAACCTTTGATCTATACTGATTCTCCCTCTGTCTTGTTTTAGTTCTACAACAACACAGCTACGAAGGAGATGCAGGTATTTTGCCAGCACGGATGGGAGGAATGCGAACTGAATGCACTGCATGGCTGCATTCTGGAGACACTTGAGATTAAAGAGGCCTTCAAGCTGATCTATTGTATGCTGCGGGCCTATAGCAACCAGCTGGACAAGTGCTCCAATCACCTGGGTCTCGATGTGAGTGCGGCCAGGAAATGCAAGCAAACGCGCAAGACCCCAGAGATCCTGGCTCCCTACGGCAAGGAGACTCTGAAGTTGGGCCTGTCCTTTGTCCCCACCATTGTGTTTGAGAATGTAAGTGCATTTGATTCGTTGATCCCCTCTAGACGTCTTCTTTAAATCGATGCTTCAATCCCCTAGGTATTCGAGCCATACGAGCAGAGCAGCATTCGCTACAACTTCGAGGGTCATTTCTGCAGTCAATACAAGAGAAAGTTCAACATCAGTCTTCCCACATGCGTCTAGCCAAATCCCATTCAAACATGATGAAGCCTGCTATGTTTTATAACGTGGTAAAACCAATAAATTATAATTACACCCGAGGTACCAGTTGGACTGGGGTTTTCGCTGACTCAGACTTACTACAAGCCAGCAGTGAACATTTTAAAATTGGATCACCTTATCGCTTCCATTTGCATAGAGATCCTATGATTAGACTCAGACGCAGCTGCAAATAAGATTAGAGCCCCAGTGTGATGGTTCCGCTGCTCAACGCTGCTCAACGTAATTGCGCGCATTGCTGTCAGAGTTTGTTGTTCGGCCTTTGTTTTTTGGACTGACGCAGGCTGGCACACGCTCAGTGGGGGTCTTCAGGAAATATATACAGTCCCCTACACTCATGGGTTGATTGAGACCCCCAACAGGGGCGCTGGTTACCAGAGGGGTGGGTGAAATGCTACGGAAGTAACTAAATAACTACCAGAACTACCCTTGCTTGATTGGTCTTTTACCTGCTAGACAAAAGTGCAAGATAGATACAAGATCCTGCTAGCCGATAGTCTGTTAATAGACGATATTTTTATATCGGTTGAATACTCTAAAGATAAATGCAGCAGAGCTTCCTTTATCAGTGGCAGTCTTTGCAATTCGCAAAGGATCCAACTAGAAAAAGTAAAATTAAAAAACAAACGATTCAATTTATTATATATTCTGATTAATCGATAAGCCTATCGATCCATTTATCATCTCTACGATAGGGATCTTTCGTTCAATTGCGATATCTGTCATTATAATAATATTCTTTCATAGTTTTCATATTTGGATTTCTGCTATTTCGATTTATTTGCGAATCTCTCAGTGGCGTGAAATAACCCTCTTTACGCGAATTTAATCCACGCCACTGTCCAACGCTGAGACATTGCAGCTCATAAGTAATTTGGACTTTATTTCAGTGTCAAACCATCGCTGGCGCTGTGCGGCTGAACGATTTAAAGATCGTTCCCAATGAAGGCGTTTGTCTTTGTCTGTCTGCTGATGTGCATTGTGGCGCTGGCCAGTGCGAGGGTGAGTGACATTTCCACCTCCATTTCAGGGGACAAGAACAAACAAATTCCGAATTTTCGCAGCGTCATCATGCACGAGTGACAGAGGCGGGTGATAAGTTGGCCATAACACTGTACTACGAGTCTCTTTGTCCCTACTGCATGGAGTTTGTCACCACACAACTGGCTCCCTCGATGATGCAGAAAGATCGACTGCCATTCACGGATCTCCTGCTAATCCCTTACGGCAATGCCAAAGTGGGTGCCTGTCTGTCCATAAGAATTCGAATTTAGCTTAAAATCCAATGTCATTTCAGCTAGATGATGACGGAAATGTCGAATGCCAGCACGGGGTGGAAGAGTGCGAACTGAATGCCTGGCATGGCTGCATACTGCAGCACCATAATATCACCGAATCTGTGAAAATGATTGCCTGCATGATGCGCGGAAAGAAGAACAGACTGGACAAGTGTGCCGAGCACTTTGGCATCGATGTCAGCGACGTCAAGAACTGCCGGAGAACTCGTAGTGTGAGGGACATACTGGCAGAGTACGGTGAGGAGACGGCTCAGGTGAAGCACGAGGGCGTTCCAGCCGTGGCAGTGAATCACGTAAGATGAAATAAGAGCATCGAATCGGATATCGAAAACCGAAAGATTAACTTTTTCTCTTCCATAGATATACAATGTCACCGAACAAACCAGTCTGGTTGATCATTTCGATGTTGTTTTTTGTGCCCAATATGAGACCATGTACCATATAAAACTAGACAACTGTGTGTAATCGGCGTATAATTTGAATATGTATAACAAATAAATATTGAGCATCTTTTAAGAAAAACTAATTTGATGGAATATATCCTTAATTTAGTACATAGAAATAGTGTCCCAGCTGCCAGCTGCAATGGTTCCATAGCAGTCAGCTTTAAGGCTGGTAAATTATTTCAAAGCGTCATCTAGTGGTCAATTTGAAAACTGTGTACAACTAATAGCACTAATAAATTCATCAGGGCTGCAATAGATGCATCGAAAAATAAATAACGGTCCAGGCTGCATCAATATTAAAATATTAAAAAAAAAAAATAAGAAAATTTAACAACAAATTAAGTAAACAATGTTTTTGGTTTTTTTAAGGTACTTCTCCAGCAATGAACGTCAATAATGACGTAGCTCACTGCATTGAAACTAGGGGTCCCCCAGTATTTGACAAGCCCAGGCGGCTTCCAGGGAAAAAGTTCGATGCGGCTAGTCGTGATTTCGTGGTCCATTCCCTTTCATCTGGTTCCAAAAAAACCGAACGGATGGCGTAACCGAAAACCGAAACGCAATTCCCGTACCATTCCAGACCGCTACCCTATACCTCACTGCGAAGACATTATGCAGCGTTTGTACGGCTGCAAAAGTTTTCTCGACAATGGACAGATTCCTGTCCCTCGCGAGGACATTTCAAAAACTGCTGTTATGACTGCCTTCGTACTGTTCGAATTTTTTGGAATGCCTCCGGGCTTATACAATGCAGCACAAGCTTTCCAGCATCATATGGGTTTGGTGCCTTGAGGAAAAATTGTGTCGAGTAGTGTTATTTTGGCATCTCTACTATAGAGATCTTTTTGTTTCATTTGCGATAACTGTCGTTATAATAATATTCTTTCTTAGTTTTCATATTTGGATTTGTTTTACACAATCAATCAAAATTTGTCTATCCATATATTATTTGCGAATTTAAACCCCCCCTGTCCAACGCAAAGACATTGCAGCTCATAAGTATTTTTGACTATCCCTATCCCTGGCGCTGTGCGGCTGAACGATTTAAAGATCATAAACTCAATCATTCCCAATGAGGACGTTTGTCTTTGTCTGTCTGCTGATGTGCATTGTGGCGCTGGCCAGTGCGAGGGTGAGTGACATTTCTACCTCCATTTCAGGGGACAAGAACAAACAAATTCCGAATTTTTGCAGCGTCATCATGCACGAGTGACAGAGGCGGGTGATAAGTTGGCCATAACACTGTACTACGAGTCTCTTTGTCCCTACTGCATGGAGTTTGTCACCACACAACTGGCTCCCTCGATGATGCAGAAAGATCGACTGCCATTCACGGATCTCCTGCTAATCCCTTACGGCAATGCCAACGTGAGTGCCTGTCTGTCCACCAGAATTTGAATTTAGCTTAAAGTCCAATGTCATTGCAGCTAGATAATTACGGGAATGTCGAATGCCAGCACGGGGTGAAAGAGTGTGAACTGAATGCCTGGCATGGCTGCATACTGCAGCACCATAATATCACCGAATCTGTCAAAATGATTGCCTGCATGATGCAGGAAAAGAAGAACAGACTGGACCAGTGTGCCGAGCACTATGGCATCGACGTCAGCGACGTCAAGAACTGCCGGAGAACTCGTAGTGTGAGGGACATACTGGCAGAGTACGGTGAGGAGACGGCTCAGGTGAAGCACGAGGGCGTTCCAGCCGTGGCAGTGGATTACGTGAGATGAAAAAACAGCATGGAATAGGATATCGAATACCGAAAGATTAACTTTTGCTCTTCCATAGATATACAATGTCAACGAACAAAGCATTCTGCTTAATCATTTCGATGCTGTTTTCTGTTCTCAATATGAGACCATGTACCATATAAAACTGGACAACTGTGTGTAATCGGTGTATAATTTGAATTAACAAATAAATAATGAGGCAGTATTTTTAAAGAACAACTAATTGGTATCCTTGAGTGCATAGTAATTGTTGAGCTACGGAGCTTTTTCGAGATTATTAAAGAGATGATTGATAAGTATATATATTCACAGTTTATTGTAGTGTAGTATATACAGAGTCGAAGGGATAGTTAGCTGGATTCAAGACGGGGTCAGATTGAAGACGCGGGGGTCGGTTCAAGACGGTGTCGGATTGAATAGCTCGATTCTAAGACGATGTGCAAGAAGTGATTGCAAGATCAAGACTAAATCAAAGGGCGACAGATCGAGAGAGTGTTAGCGAAAGGCGATAAAAAGAAAGGTGCGAGATGAAGGCGCGAGAGAACGGCTGTATATGCATGCTGCCGTGTGGGAGCATGAATGTGTACATATGTTTGTAGTTAGATGACAATTTAGTACAGTGGGCAGTGCAAACAACGAACAATAATAAGGATTAACTCTACTGCTGCACCACTGTGATCTATGTATTTAAGTCCACTATTTGGCTGCGTAACCAAACAGCAATAGTGTCACGCAGCCGCTTTAATGGTTCCATATCAGTCAGCTTTTGGGGCTGGTAAATTATTTCAAAGCGTCATCTAGTGGTCAATTTGAAAACTGTGTACAACCAATAGCACTGATAAATTCAGCAGTGCTGTAAAAGTCTGAGCACAACAAAAGCTTATCGAAAAATAAATATCGTTACAGGGCTGCATCAACATTAAAATATTAAAAGAAAAATACACATAATAACAAATTATATACAAGTAAATACCATTGTTTTCCCAACCATTTTAAAAGCTTCCCTTAATGGGGTTAAAAGCTTTGTTGGGTCGGCTGCTTTCTTTAAACCTTATTTTATAAACAATCCAATGAAAAAGAGTTCTGAAAACTTTCCAATCTTGTATAAAATTGATGTATCTTGTTTTTTAAGTAAAGAGGAGGATGGGGCTACAAGGAGCCAGTATTTTTTTCCGCGGTTTAGAAAAGGGTGCTCAACTTTTTAAATAGAGGGGTGTTAAGTGGGTTAAGTCTCGTTTGATCTCAGGATTGTATTTTTATCGTTATCGTCACGGTCACGCTGGTCACACTGATTCGAGTGATTCGCGAATAAATTTTTTTCTTTCAATTTTAATTCTGTGTTAATTACTGGAATTGCAAAAAACCCATTAAATAAACAGACAGCCAGTGAAAAGCGTGCGATGAGCGAGACCATTAACACCGCGGCGCAGTTTCCGTCCTTCGAGAAGCCGACCGTGCAGTTCAACGAGCGAGGCTGGGGACCATGCGAGCTGCCGGACACGTTTAAGGATGTACCATACCAGCCGTTCAGCAAGAACGATCGCCTGGGCAAGATCTGCGACTGGACGAGCACCTCGAACAACGACAAGAAGTACCAGAGTGAGTGCAATACAGATCCCATTTGAAAGTCGCATTTCTTCACATTTGTCCGCCCACAAAGTGAGGTTATGTGCGTGTGTCGTGGCAGAGGCTATAGCGTTGTTGTGTTTTTGTGTTTCTTTCAGACAAGTACGCCTCGAGCTTCGGCACTGGCAACCAGTACTCGTACTACCATGAGGAGGACGAGACCACGTTCCACCTGGTCGACACGGCTCGCGTGCAGAAGCCGCCTCACCAGCGCGGCCGTTTCCGCAACATGCGCGGACGCGGTGGTCGCGGACGCAATCCCCGCGGCGGCCTGAACAACCACCACCACCACGGCATGACAACGCTCAATGGCAAGAATGTGAAGGCTCGCGATACTCGTCGCGGCATGGGCAAGAAGTTCGGTCATCGCGGTCCGCCACCAAAGATGCGCGAATCCTCGGTGGCCGTGCGCGCCGACTGGGCTTCCATTGAGGAGATGGACTTCCCTCGTCTCATCAAGCTGTCGCTGCCGAACATCAAGGATGGTGTCGATATCGCCACCTGCGGCACCCTGGAGTACTACGACAAGACCTATGACCGCATCAACGTGAAGAACGAGAAGCCGCTGCAGAAGATCGATCGCATTGTGCACACGGTGACCACCACCGACGATCCGGTTATTCGTCGTCTGTCCAAGACCGTGGGCAATGTCTTTGCCACAGACGCTATTCTGGCCACCATTATGTGCTCGACGCGCTCCAACTACTCCTGGGACATTGTAATCGAGAAGGTTGGCGACAAGATCTTCATGGACAAGCGTGACCACACGGAATTCGATTTGCTGACTGTGAACGAGAGCAGCGTAGAGCCCCCAACTGACGACGACAGCTCTTGCAACTCTCCCCGCAATCTGGCCATCGAGGCCACCTTCATCAACCACAACTTCAGCCAGCAGGTGCTCAAGACTGGCGACCAGGAGGCCAAGTTCAAGTTTGAGGAGGGCAATCCCTTCATTAGCGAAGACGAGGACATCCAGGTGGCCAGCGTGGGCTATCGCTACAAGAAGTGGGAGCTCGGCAGCGATATTGTAAGCGTAAATCCATGACTCCTCGAGGCATCACTCTAACCAATTCCCTCTTATTTGTGTGGTAGGTTCTGGTGGCGCGTTGCGAACACGACGGCGTGCTGCAGACGCCCAGCGGCGAGCCACAGTTCATGTCGATCAAGGCCCTCAACGAGTGGGACTCCAAGCTGGCCAATGGCGTTGAGTGGCGCCAGAAGTTGGACACACAGCGCGGCGCTGTGCTGGCCAATGAGTTGCGCAACAACGCCTGCAAGCTGGCCAAGTGGACCGTCCAGGCCGTGCTCGCGGGCTCCGATCAGCTGAAGCTGGGCTATGTGTCGCGTATCAACCCGAGGGATCATTCGAGGCATGTTATCCTGGGAACGCAGCAGTTCAAGCCGCACGAGTTCGCCACCCAGATCAATTTGAGCATGGACAATGCCTGGGGCGTGCTCCGTTGCATCATTGATTTGGTGATGAAGCAGAAGGACGGCAAATATCTGATCATGAAGGATCCCAACAAGCCGATCATTCGTCTCTACGATATCCCCGACAACACATTCGATTCCGATGACTCGGACGACGGCGAGGGCGATGATGGTGAGGGTTTCCAGCAGGTCTACAACTATGCGAACAACAGCAACAAGATTTAGACGACACACGCATTCAGCAGCCACTTGCAGCCACATCGGGGCTGTATCTGCGTCATAGCCCTTTTATTAACCATAATATTATCGATCGACAACAGATGTCCTTTCGCAGAAGTAGACGCGTTCTAGGCGCTAGTTGTAAGAATTTATATCTGAGTTGTATCTGCAGCATATTCCTAGTAAAACACAGAAGGCGAAACGAAGATTCATACTCTTTACTGGAGGGTGCCTCTTGTTTAACATTTCTGATTCATGTCACAAATTGTTATAAACAAAAAGCCACATGGTATGAAGTGCAGTCTTCGATTGAATCCTGGCGAAGAACAACCGAAATGTGATCCAAGATAAGGCTTCTGCTAATCGTTGTCCGTAGTCCAAGCTGCTGGATTGTTGCATCAGCCTCAGAACGTGTCCGCTGAACAAAAATCTGAGCAAAATCACGACCGACAAGACTGACACTGGCCGAATGCAAAAGAATCAGCAATAAGCAATGCGCTTTGACGAGTCATCGCACGAGACTCTTGGATCCAATCTACGTCTGCAGTGCACAGCCGGGCAACATTCTCCCCAGCATGGGAGAGTGCGGCCAGACCTTGGCTTCCTTTCGCATTACTGGGGGCAGTAGGACAGATCTCTATGAGTTTCCCTGGCTGGCACTGATTCGACACGAGAAACCTCGACCACTGCAGCTAAGTACGTTAAGGGATTTGGTTAAATTGTTTGCTGAGGCACATACAACCTTTGATTGCGTAGGGGCAACGATCAATTTTCGTTATGTACTGACCGCTGCCCATTGCGTGGTCAGCCGAGGGCTCATCGAGTCGGTTGCAGTGGTGAGCAGCGTTCGCCTGGTCGAATGGAACGTCGAGTCTGCTCCCGACAGCTTCCTCGAGGTGAAGGTCAGGAAATTCTGTGCTGCCAGTTGGCTGGAAATAGCAATTGAAAAGAGGATCGTGCACGATGGGTACGTGCCCGACAGCAGCGACCAATTCAATGACATATCCCTGCTCCGTCTCAAGCAGCGTGTTGGGTGAGGAGATTCGGTTACCCAGACTTGGAGGCCATCAGCGTAATGAAACCTGTTCGGATCGTAGTCGTCACTTCCAGGGATATCTCATGAAAATAGCCTACTGGGGCCACACCGCCAACGACAGAGCGAGCTCGGTCTTGCTTAAGAGCACTATTGTAGGACGTCATTGGGATGTGTGCCACGCAAGATACGGCCCGATGAGGCACACCCAACTGTGCGCTATAATAGGAAGTCGGGCAGCCCACTAATGGCCAACATCAGTGTGGGCGCCCGTGAATTAATTGCTCTTGCTGACATCACCTCGTATGGGCCATGACCGTTTGGTCTGCAGGGCTGGCTGGGCACAGGCGCCTTCATCGAATGGAGAGTGCTGCAACTGGAGGCTTGATCTGGTTAATATCTCTGTAAAGATTGCAATAGAAGTACCTACATAATATTTACATAAACCGTTTCAGAACCACTCTGGAGTACATATGTATGTATGTATGTGTAATGAGAGGAACGTCATAAAAATAACTGGTTAAGAAATTATCGACTGCACATTGATCTAGAGATCATTAAATGGGAGAACATGCTCAGCACAGGGTTTTGGACAGGTGGCTTGGTTGGCTTTTCCACAATTCACATTGTAATCTACGGGGAAAACACTCCACATACATATGTACATATGTATGTACTTACATATCAGTATGCAATTCTCTTTCCCATAATCTTGGCTCACCTCTGACACGCTGCCATTTGGCTCTCGCGATAACGCGCTTGATAATCTCGTCAGCGGCTAACTAATGAGACTTAAACCGGCTCCACCGCTGGAGAGTGCCTTTAGTCTCGGCTGGAAACCCATTGCGATCAGATCAATCGTAATCTGCCAAGATGCTGACGGATCCGAAGCTGTTAATTCTCCCGCTGCTGCTGCTGTTGGTGGCACAACGAGCTGGTAAGCTGTCCTTCGAGGTGCCAACAACCAGTTTTAATCAGTGCATTAATGCATCGCAATTTTGCCACTCATTTGATTTAGATGCTGCGCAGATCAGCTTCGGCAGCTGCACGCCGCAGGAGAGTGGGGAGCGCGGCTTCTGCGTCCACATTGAGAGCTGTCCCTTTCTCTTCACTATCCTGAATACGGATAAGACGACCCAGGCGCAGCGCACACTGCTCTCAAAGAGCCAATGCGGTTTGGACAACAGGCGCGAGGGCCTGCTGAATCGCATTCTGGTCTGTTGTCCGGTGAGCAAACGCAGTGGCCAAATCACGAATGTCCACACAGCGGCAGAGGAGCAGCTGCCGGCCAACGTTCTGCCCGGCAATGAGACATGTGGCATCCATTTTGCCGACCGCATAGTGGGCGGCCGCAATACCACGCTCTCGGAGTTCCCTTGGATGGTCCTGCTGCAGTACAAGAAGCGTGAGTGGAACAATCATTTAAGGGAAGACTTTCAGACTATCCAATTCCGAATTCGAATTTTCAGTTTTCTCCGAGGATTATAGCTTCAATTGTGGCGGGACTCTGATCAACTCCCGCTATGTGCTGACTGCCGGCCACTGCCTGGCCAGTCGTCGCTTGGACATGTCCGGCACGGTCCTGCATGCGGTCCGCCTGGGCGAGTGGGACACCAATACGGACCCCGATTGTGTGACCGAAAAGAATGGCAAGACGACATGCGCCCCCAGGCACATTGACATTGAGGTGGAGAAGCGAATCATCCATGAGGCATATGTACCCAACTCCATTGACCAGCTGAACGACATAGCCCTATTGCGTCTCAAGCAGAGTGTCAGGTGAATGGATGCCCACTAGTCTGATCTGATCTCCAATTAAATCGTGACTTTGCAGCTACTCGGATTATGTGAGGCCGATTTGTCTGGGCATCAGTGGCGATGTACGGACGAATCAATTCGAGGGCTATGCCATGGACGTGGCTGGCTGGGGCCTCACCGAGAAGAAGGTGCCCAGTCCACGGAAGCTGAAGATCACCGTCGATGTGTGGAACCTGAAGACGTGCCAGGAGAAGTACAGCACCTACAAGGTGAATCTGAACGATAATCAGCTGTGTGCCGGTGGCAAGGCGAATATCGACACCTGCGGCGGCGACTCTGGCGGTCCCCTGATGGTGGCAATCAACACTGGCGGCAGGGAGGTGTTCTATGTGGCCGGCATCACCTCTTACGGTCCGGATCCGTGCGGCCTACTGGGCTGGCCGGGTGTTTACACCCGAACTGGGGCATTCACCGATTGGGTACAGCGTAAATTAGAGGCATAATAAATACTGTTGCTAATTTATTCACATTTCTCGCATTCGCTAGCTTAAAATATAGCAGGCAACTAGTGCTGGGGCAAGGTGCGTGTGGCATTAAACTTAAATTAGGCTAAGCTTCTTTCTTACTTTCAAGTGGAATGCAAAACAAAAACAGATTCAAATTCAAAACAAGGCAGGACATGCTCAAAAAGTACATTCGATTTTTCGGTTTTTGCGGGTAACTTAAATTACATAAATAAAATCGAACTTCTTCTGTGACATTCCATACAATAACACCAATTGGCTTAGCTAAACGGTACTTATTTTACATACATATTTGCTTCTTCTTCTATATTCTATATTCTAGAACTCATCGGATATTGTTTAATGGATGTGTGACAACGTAAACACATTTAATTTGATTTAAGGGAACATTTTGTATAGCTAAAGGGGCGATTGCCAGCAATTCGAATAGGCTTAACAATAGAGATTCAATAGTGGTTGTATATAAAACGCTGCCCATTACCAGGGGCCAGGCCAGACTCCCCCACCAATACACCAATACAAAAGGCGATGCTGGATGCTGGCATTGGGCATTTGGCGAACTTAACCCTCCTCTGGTGCAGCGCGTGGCGCCTTTCCAGTTTCGATGGCCATCCACTCGGTACTCGGCTGACTTATGGCTTCCAAAGCTTGTTCAACGCCATCCATTGAGGCATTCGGTGCGTTCAATGCGGAATCCAAGGCATCCAATGCAGGCTTCAGTTGGCCTAAAACATTCTTGACAGCAACGCAAAATCCACGACTGCACGGGAGTAGGGGAAACTCGGGCATCTCGCATGGGGCCTTGTACTCCGCCGGCATTTCTAAAATGTGGCCATGAGCCATGAATTACAATATATCAACCAAGAAGATAGAAGGCAGTTTCATTGCCCCCCTCCCTACTCACCCTTAATGCTGGTAACTTTCAGGCGCTGTGCCTCAGATGAGTAATCGGCCCAGGCCTGTATGCGGTCATACAACTCGGTGCCAAACTCCCTAAAGTGCTGAATCAGTTCGTTGCGGAAGATGAGTGGCGGATTCTGGAGCTGCTTAACCGTGGAATGGGCTAGCTTAATGATTGCCATTTCGTTATAGACCCGAGAGTTCTCCAGGCCCAGTTGTGTTCCTAGAAAAAAGCGTAAATGTTGAATATTAAATATGTTCTTTAGTTTTTCGAGTATGTAAATGCCTACCGCGTTGTTTCTCATAGCCCGCCTCATTATAGTAGGGCTCATCGACCAGTATGAGACCCTGTATCGAGACGAGCACCTGCAACATGGTGCTGGTTATCGACCACATTTCAGTGTCGCGCCCTGACCAAGTGCCCAGCAGGGATACGCACACCTTGCCCTCTTCATACAGGTTCGGATTGAGACGCTCTGTGCAGTAGCTGGTGTAATGACAGATTGGCGGTACCCTCGGATAGTCGCGACCCATTTGAAAGTCGAAGAAGAACAAGGCGTTCTGGTAGGGCGTGCGCTTGGGTCCCACCATCATCACAGACATCAGATCCATCCGATCCTCATAGGCTCGCACAATGACGCCCGGTGGCAGCGACAACTGCAGCAGGGAGTACTCACGATGAATAGATCGCTGGTACTGCGCCTTGTTCAACGGTGTCACGGGACTGCGAATGAAGCGATGATTTGGCGGGGCATTGGGCACCACCTCGAAGCAGTTCTCGCAAACGGGAGAGTGGCGAGATGGAGAGACAGTTTTGGGTGTGGGGGAGGGTGATGAACAGGCCATGGGACGATCAATGGGCGGCAGCGACTCGGACAATGCGTTCAGGTCCAATGTGTGCTCCATGGCATCGCACTTTGGCAGATTCTGTTCAACATCCATCTGAGCTATTGGACGCGACGTTTCCACCTCGTTGATGTCGCTGGCGACGTCCACTGGCTCGACATCATACGTGGCTGTATCTGAATGCTCGTCATCTGAATCTTTAGCTTCTTGTGCTTCTCTGCGTGCACGCTTGATTTTCTCATTAACCAACTTGCGGCATTTGGACAATTGTTTCTTGATTAGAAGAGCAAACACCTCAATGGTTTCGGTGACGCAGCTCTCCGAAAACTCAATGACCACTTGTGGCTTCAGCTCTGGCGGCGGCGACGGCGACTGCTCCTCCACCTTCGGCTCGACAGGATCACGATCGCTGGCCGAGTTGGTCAACTCGCTCATGCTGTTCTCGCCCCGTGAGTGAACGCCAGAATCATTCTGATGGGATAGAAAAATATAAAACGTTTGCTTAAGAGGCAGCCCTTGGGTTGGGAGACCGAAAAGTGTATTTACCTTTGCCTTATTCCGTATATCAAAAGCCACGAGAATACTGTTACGCGCTATTTCGATCATGTGATTATATTCGCAACGATATTTGGCTATCAATTTGGCATTCTCACAATTCTCCTCCTCGGTGGCTGCTCCTGGTTCATCCTCGGTGACAATATCGCCAGTTCGCTTGCATTGAACTTCGTCTATTTCGGTTGATGATTTTCGCTTTGTGGGCGTCGATGTCGACTGGGCGCTCACCGGAGGGCCATCAACCTGAAGCCTCAATGGCGTCGTGGCTAAATCCATATCCGCATCAACATTAATTATATTTTGGATAGCCCTGTAGGTTTTGGAGATGCGACTTGAGTCCAGTGCGTTCCCGAAATGCTCCGGGCCAAAGAAGCTGGTCTTTAGCAGGCGATCCAGGTAATGGCAATTCGTATAGATGGCAACCAAATCGATGTGTACCTCTGACTTTTCAGCGTTCGGCAGCAGATTGTGGATCTTCTCCAGCTTGCCCAGTGCATCGCTCACGCTATCGATGCCCGTGATGATGTGCTCTCTCTCTGTGAGCTGACCGTGCAGACTGTCCTCCGACTGGGTCTCCCACGAGTTGTCCGATCCATCGGACAGATAGCCATCGTGATCGTGATCATTCTGATTGATCTCAAACAGATCCTGGGGATAGCACATGGTAATGTGTCCCATGGCCCACCAAACGCGCACACGGCCATCGGGATAGTTGTCGATCACCTGGCCAGCTGTCGAGTTGACATCCTCGTTTGTAAAATTCGAGACCCTAATGACCATGGTGCCCGGTCGATACTGATAGTCGGCGTGATCCTTCAAATCATAGACGCTTAGCTCCTCCACCTCCTTGCATGTGGGACTGCCAATAGATGAATAAAGTGAGCTGAAATTCTCATTTGAAGGGAAAAATAATACACAATACATACACCGAATCCTTTTTGGTATAAATGTTGAACCATTTAACCTTCGCAATACGTTCATCATGATCCACGGACTGAATGACGCCATATTCGGTCTGCGATAGGTTATTCTCGTTCGCCTTGCTCACAAAGTCACCCGGAAAGAACTCATGATTGTCCAGATGGTGTATGGGATATAGATGTGTCGACTGAATGTTCTCCTCAACGGTCCCATCCTGCCAGACGACGGTCGCGGTACTGCGTACCACTAACGTCTCCACCACAATATCATCGCCGTCGCGTGGATCTATATGTTTCTTAACAAATGGTGACGAAAGTGTCTTCTTTGGAAGCTTCTTCTTTTTGCCGTATCGTCGATTGCCAATCCGCACGGTGATGCGCTGCTGATTATTAGCTGCACCAGCAACACCACCAGTCATATTTGTGGAGGCAGCCACTAGTGCATCATTTTTGTCATCACTTGCCTCAGGTAGAGGTCCGGCTGCCAGCTCCTCTTGGCCTTCCAATTCTTTAGACACGTCCAGGCACTCTTCGGTGCTATCGCCATCCTCAATCAAGTCCGAGGTCTCATCATGGTTGCTTGATGAAAGCTTTGTGGACGATTCACTGCCCGCTTCACGGCCTCTGAGCGAGACATTGGCTTCGACATCGCCATTGGAGCGTGAACGCGAATGTCCAGATTTATTCAAAATGCGTCGAAACTTGGGCGCATTGCGGCCACTGGCACTACTGGAGCTTTTCGGCTTGTTCCGTTTGGTCTCGATGATTCCCTGTTTTTCATAAATGGACTTGTATTTAGCCGCTGGAATGGGAAATTAGGTCGCGCATAAGTGATTATATTCGTCAAGCAATTCATAAATTCGTCATATTACTTAGTTCTTCCTCCCAGTCCTGGTGATTGAGCAGTGTATCATGTTTCGAATATTTGAGGAAGAATCGATCGTGAATTTGTAGCATGTAGGATTCATAGATATTGAGGCGCTTCATTTGCACTAGTTCTTCGCCCACGACTTCAGTTTTTGGCTGTTTAAGAGGATCGCCAGTGCAATCGTTTGTAGTGGCACGACATGTCCAGGCCACGTTCACGCCAAGGGTTTCGATCGACTCCACGGTATACTACGGTAGATTAAGTTATAACAATATGCGTTAAGCCTCTGCGTTTCGTTGGATTGTATTTGTATGTCTTCTTACCAAGGCTCGCTTGCGATTTGCGGGCAATGGTATGTCCGGAGTGAGATTTAGAAAGCGATCGAAGGGCGGCAGACGACCCAAAACCACGTTGCCGGGAAACAACACATGGGGAGTGAATACTTCAGGCAAACTCTTGGAATTTGCATCCCTAAACTTGTGGAAATAAGCCGAGCCGATTTCAAGGCGGCCTCCACTGCCGGTTCTGCAAAAAAGAAAAACATCCATACAACAGCCACAAGTGAGTGCTGCAATTAAGCATGCCAAAGGCGAGCAGCTTACCTGAGCACTGCGACCTCGTCCACATGGATGGTGGTGCCCACCCAGGTGTCAAAGCATACGGGTATATCACGTGCCCATTGTGAGATCGGGCGCAAACGCTCCGCAGGTACATTCTTGATGACGAATTTGGAGCCAAGCACCTTTACGTCCGCGGTCACGCTCACATCCCTCACATAGCCAGACGGCCCGGTGAGATCTCTCTGGCCAGGCAGGCGACGACGCACAACATCGCCGGGCATCAATGTGCGGTCTGCGAGGCCGATCTGCAAAGCCACATGTTGAGGAAACAGAAGAGCAAAGAAAAGAGCAAACAAACACGTGTTAATGCCGTGCCGAAAAAAAAACAGTTGTTAAAACACAACAGTTATGAACAGTTATTTGTAGGGCCAATGCCAATGCCAGTTACATAACCTCAACGAGGGTGGCTGTACTTACGGCCGACTCCATTCGAATCTGTTCCTTGCCATCGGGATAGAAGGCCACACGAACCTCGCCAGTAAACAACGGCTCATTATCATCCTCGTCCTCCGATGAGTGCGACTCGGCCGTCTCAGTTATGACGCCAAAGTGCACGCGTCCGCGTGAATCGATGCGAAAGACCTCGTCCTCGAAAAAGAAACGGCAAGGGCCGTTTTTTTTGGCACTCCTGGACGGCGCTATTCCGCCGCCCGTCCTGCGATGGCTTGATGGAGCACCACTGGCCAGGCCCGGCTCGTCTGTGTCATCCTCATGGTTTTTAGGGAGGGTGCCAACATTCTTGCCAGCACCCGCCTCACGACTCGACATGTTATTACCAATGATGAACTGCGTTCATGGGAGAAATATTATAGATTGCAAGAAACTGGTGCAGCGCCTTCGGGTATAATTAGACAAGCACAATTGGCGTGGCGACTTCCTACCGACTTGTCTCCAATAAACGATTCTTACGCCCAACTCTTTGGTGTGATGTGACTCTCTCTATCTATACGGAAAACGCTATCGAACCCGCATTCAATTTTTACGTGACAATATCTGTTCAATTTGATTATCGACTTTTTAAAATTAAAACTATAAATAAAACATTCAAATATACTACAAAAACAAAAACGAGAAAGGCGAGTGCTACTCAGTGTGACCGCAGACTATTCAAATACACAGTCTGACCGTCAGAAATATATACCATATACCTTGTCACTATTAAAATATACCGGAAATATACTGACTGACACGACAAGATGCGTTGATATTACTCGATTTTGATATTCGGTTCAATATTACTAACTAGTTAGCCCTTTCAGCCCTAAAAAAATAATTTTATCCTATTGCTCAATAAGTTTTATATAAGATTGGGTAGTTTTTAGATCTCCGTTTTATTGGATAATTAAGATAATAGGGTTCAAACAAAAACGGCCAAAGCATAAAACATAAGTGTGAACTCTGGTCACACTACGTAATTGCTTCTGGTCAACAAAGTTTCTGCAGCGTATGGAAATTTGTATACCTTATTTCTTTTAATTGATGTTAAATTTGTTGTTCCAAGCTGCTTTAAAACATTAATATTGCATTTTTCTTAGATTGAGATGTTTTTCACTTATTAATGCATATGTTTTGTGTTGTATAAATAAATTTATCCCGGTTCTGATACCTATTTATGGCACCCGTAAGCTGCAAAATTTCGTTAATGTCTTTAAAACAGAGACTGAGTAGTTTCTGCATTAATTGGAGAATGAAATTACAAACAAAATCTCAAGTCCATAATATCCATTTTCCCAAGGTTGCTTATTCCGTGCCAAAGTTGCACAACAATGCTTCCTATTCATTACCTCATATTACTGAAACTTTTCCCATACAAATCAAAAGTATCTTACGGGAACGCGTATGGAATGACGCAACAATGAATCTTCATTCCATACGCGAGGGGAAAGTCACCACGAAAGCGCACTCTTCACCACGGAAAAGAGAGCAAATTTTGAAAAACAACCACGATTTGAGAGCGAAAAATGTCAGTATTTTTTGTGCGCTAAATGGAGTTTATATCCTGACCGACACGATAAGAAGCGTTGATATTCCTCAACTTTGATATTAATAGCTAGTTAGCCCTCTCAAAACAAAACATAGAATTTTATAAAATTTATAAATCAAATTGCTACAAGATTTGTTAGCTCTAACGACTCCTTTTTATTGGATTACTTATAAACTAAGGGTTAAACGGTAACTACACATTTTCTAAATATCTACGACTTATTTGTAGAGTATGGCACCAATTTCCTTTAATAAACGTTAAATTTCTGTTTTCAAAGCCATCTAACTTGCAATACGAATGCAGCCTGCGTGCCGCTTCCCCGTTTAAACAGGCCTTAACAGCTCTCACCATTCCTTAAATTAATAAAAACTCACCTTATTTTTAAACCGTTTGAACGCCCTTCTTATAAGAAAGAGAAAAACTAAGGCGACAATGACCGTAATCATTTCGAATGATTTTTTATTTGTTGTTCCCAAATTTATGTTAAATATAAAATGTATATTTCGTCTGTATGTGTCTTAAAAAGTAAAGCAAAGACTACTTTACTTTTGAAGTTTAATACTTGTTAATAATACTCGATAATGGTTCTGTTCTTATAGTCTAGATTAGATTGGGAAATGCGAGCTTAAGTCGCGGTTCGTCTGACATTTTCTTACGACCTAAACATACCAATAACTTTTATGCACATATCTTTATTTATTGTATGTACCGTATCTATACATAAAAAAATAATACAACTCGCATTCTCTTGTATTTACTTGTATATTCACATAACAAATTGACTTTTACTCCAAGACATTCTGAGAAACCCGAACAAAATGAAGAAAAATGTCGATGTACAACATATGTGATACAATTTTCCAAAGTCCCCTATTAATCATCGGATATTGGAAGCCGCGAAACACAAATTACCACAGCAGGCTACATCTTCACGAGTACAAAAGTACCTTCAATAAATAGAATAAATAGAATAAATTATAAATTTTACTATTTTTATTTTACTGAAATTTTGACAATATTTGTTCTAATATTGCACCCCCCCATGTTACATGTTATCACACCTAACTATCATGGGCGGCGCGAACTGAGAGTGGCGGACACCGAACGAGTAGGCCTGACCAGATTTGCCAGGACGGTAGTACATGAGATCGTAGTAGTTAGGGCCTGGTCCCACGCCCTTAGTAGCCAGGCCCACGCGCGGTGACATTGAGTATTGCGGAGCGCGCGTCAAGTTCACATTGATATCGCCAGGAGCGTAGGCAGCAGGACCAGGTGACATTCCCTTTGTGAGCGTCTTTGTTTGCAGCCCCCTAAAGGAGTAGGGACAGGACAGAGGATTGCATTAGTTATAGGTCAGCCAGGGGCGGCAAGGATTGCGCTACTCACATGCTGTATGCCGGTGCGGCTTGTTTCACGGTGTTGATGTCATACTTGTAGGCATTCGGGCCAGGTCCGTGCCTCTTGAAATTGTAGTCAGTGCGCAGACCCATGGAGTAGGACGGTGCATTGATGCCCGTGAAGAAGGGCTTTAGATGCACATCATGTGCCCCAGGTCCGGGACCAAATCTTTTATCTGCAATGCACGGATGAAGGGCAACCAACCACTCCTTACCACTTCACATCATCCAATGACATAGAACACTTACCAATGGTGTTCAACCGGGGCGCTATCGAGTACTCCAAGCCGCCAGCCTTGCCATACCTCGTCAGCTTGTCGACCTTGTAGGCACCGGCGCCAGGTCCAATGTTGGTCCCCTGAAAGTTGGTTCGCATTCCAAAGGAATACTGGGGTAGGCGCTGCTTACGCGAATCGTGACGATCGTAGCCCACAGTGGGGGGCAGCATATAAGCTCCCGGGCCAGGTCCTGCCGAGAACACAACACATTATCCCTAATCCTAACTGCTTTTTTTGTTAACTGTCAAATGTTCCTCACCTACAGGTCGCACCGCCATTTTTTATTTTTATTTTGTTAGTTTTGGGGGGAATATTAGAAAAAAATATTTTACTGGAAATTTTGAACTCAAAAAAGAGTTGTTGGCCGAACGGATACCGAAAATGGAATGAGAATTTCATAGGCCCCCCATACTAGGCCTATCAAAATTATATTCAACGACTACTTTGTAATAAAATATTTAAAAAAAACGTAACAAATACACAGGGGAACATACATTTGAACAGATATTTTCTCATATGACATATTGGATCTTTATTGGTAAAGTTCGATTATGATACTATCCTGACTGAAATGGGGAACATTGTTAAGTGATTTGGACTTGGGAGATTCGAGAGATATTTGAATGGAAATACCCGTAACATGTCTGCAGACAAGATTCTGTTCCATGGGTACAGAAAAATCATCTCCAAATATATTGCTTTAGTTGAGCCAAAAAATAAACAAACGAATAAAGTAACTCTTTACATTGATTGCTTAATGTTTTCGAAGATTCGTGGCATAAGCCGGGCGAGCTATTCCACGTCCATGGAGTTGTAGAGCTGTTTATAACGAGATCCACGGCCACTGCTTTGAAGCAGCATATCATTATGCTGTTCCCTTAGGATCTGCGAGCAGGAAAGATTGATAAATAAAGACTTATTTTATAGCAGATTGGGGTAATAACCTTTGGATCGTATTTGTGATAGAGATACACCAGAATGGGGCCATAGATCATGTTGCATATGCCCACTATGCGCATTAGCCAGGCAAAGCCAAAGGTCTGAGCCAACTCCCCACCAATCAATGGAGCTACAAAAGCAGAAAAGGATCCAATGAGGGGTGAGCTAACGCTCAGAGATCAGGCTGAGACTTACCCAAACAATAGGCCAGGCTAACGGATGTCTGCTGTATGGCATAGACAGTGCCGTAGCTGGAAATGGGAGTGCTGACCTCACCCTGCTCCTCTTGGGCCAATGTGGCATCTACAAAGGTGGCCAGCAGCGGAACCAGAGCGGCATCAATCACCCCAATGCCAAGACCCAGAGCAAAGTGCGGCAACAGTAGCTGGCTAACAGTCGTCGCGCTGGGTATCTGCAGGCGAAGGAAATAGAATAGAAATCACAGAAAATTTAAAATACTTACCAAAATCGAGGCGATTCCCACCAGCAGCAGACTGATGCAGGAGACCTTCACCTGGCCAAAGCGATAGGCAACGCTGCCAAAGAAATTGGTGCCCACAAAATAGCCCACCGAATCGGGTATGAAGACAGTTCCCAGCTGCCATTTGTTCGGCTTCAAGTACTGAATCAGCCAGATGGGCAGGCACGGCTCAAGCATGGCCATCGTGGACGTCGAGAACCAGATGGCCAGCACAATGGCCAAGATCATTTTGCATTCGAGCAGTGGCCGCCACTTGGGAGTTTCCTCTACCACCACCTCCGGCTGCACAGACAGATCTAACGTCAGCAGCTGCAGGCCCAAGCTAAAGAACATCATCGTTGAGAGTATAATGAAGGGAGCGGATTTGCCCATCAGATCGTAAAGGATACCGCCGAATGGATAGCCGAGCAGCACGCCCAATGCAATACTGCCCAAGATGATGCCCATTACTTTGGAGCGACGTGCCTCCTCTGGATAGTTTTGGGCCACCAGACTCATGCCGCAGATATTGATGCACGCAGAGCCCACGCCCTGCACGGCACGAGCCACCAACAGCGCCCAGTAGGACTCGCCCACAGTGAACACTGGAAGAAGACGCACACAAACACACAATCATGCCACCTGTATTGCCATCAACGAACGAAAAGAGGCTTACCCAATGAGGAGACGAGCAGGAAGAAGGTGCCCACGACAATGGGTAGGCGGTAGCCAAACTTGCCGGTCGCGTTGCCGACAATCGGATTGAAAATTAATTGCACCAGGGCCTTCATGGCCAGCAGCAGGCCAATGGATCCGTTCTCCTGCGCCAAGGTCAGACTCCGGCTGCTATTTGAGTGCACATTACTGGCTTTAAGGCTATCGGGAGCTACCTTGCTGGTGGAGGTGGAGGCGGTCACATTAGTGCCGCCCGAATGGACGATATCTAGCATTAGTGCCGTCGCCGCAGTCATGGGTGTAACTGTGGTGGTTGTTGGTCGCTCTGTGGAGATCTGAAGCAGCGTAAAATTGACCATCGATTTGCCGGGAATAGGATGTTTGGCAGTATGTAGCTGATGGCCGCCACCGACCATCTCTCCATTGCGATAGGCCAGCTTCGAGGATGGGGTTGTCTCCTCCAGGCTAAGCACCAGCGGTGTGGAGGCCTCCAGCTCCAGTCCGGCCAAATAATCTGGCAGAATTGGTACTGCAAATGGGAACTAATCGTTCTTAATACTGATTAAGTTTATCTTTGATTAATTTTTATTACCAATCACGGTCAGCAGCATGTTATCCAGCAGCAGGGCCAGGTAGACAATCACTGCAATTAGACAGCGATTACTGCTGCCATTAGCGGGCGTAGAGCAGCGTCTGGCCGAGGCATTTAGCTGGACGGCAGCTGCTTGGTCTGCCTGCCTCTGGGCATGGCCATGTGTCGACAGCTCCGACATGTCGGCCGCACGATAAGCTAATTGTAAATCTTCCTCACAAACTGATTGACACTGCCAATTTATGCTGCCATATGGTTCGATGGCTTTGGTTGCTTTTAGTCTCGATTCGCGCCACAAAGTATGCTACACAATATTAATGCAGACACACACACACACTCGAGTGCTCTGTCCCTCACAGACACACACACACACACACACACTACGACGATAGCACCAGTTGAGCAGGAACCAACAACAGGTGGGTGTTGCTGCCTCAACGACGAGTGTGCGAATATTGAAAGGGAGCGACAAGTTGCCGTTCTATTTTATTAACAGCACGCGAACCGAGGCGACTCCCGAGTCTAAGTCCGAGTCCCGAGCAGGATGATGGGGCCGGGACCGGGGCCCCGAACGAGGTTTCATCTGGGTTCAGTTCAGATATATTTTCTGTGCTTTTCTGTTTGTGTTAAACATGAATTTGAGGCTGACCTCTTCGAGTGGTATAGGCCAAATGTTATTCAAATTGAAGCGAGTGCACATACTAAACACATGTATTTTGTATACAGTCTAAAAATAATCAAACATTATTAAGTTAAAATCAGTAAAAGTTAAAGCCAAGTCAAGCCAAAATGTTTCCATAAATACATACATACATACATACATATTTATCAACTAAAAATGAGAAATTTTCAAATAAAAATATTTATATTTGATATTTTCCCCATATATGTACATATGTATATGTGGATCAGTTTTCATCTACACTTTAAAAACTTGTCACCACTTTTGGGGAAAGAGCAAACATTATTCGTTATTAGCCATATCATAATTTCCCTCATGTTTCTATTGGCTTGGCGATAGTTTTACGTTGCGGGACACAGAGCAAAAGTTCACACACAAACAAACACATGACTTTAAAGACGTATCCATGTCATAGGATTCTTTATTATTAGCAGCACTACCAATCCCCCCCTCTGCCTCTGTACGGCTCCGCGCGGGGCTTTAAGCACTGGCTTAAAGGCTTCGTGCGACCCAGGCTGAACGAGTGTTTGCCACGGCCCCGATAAGCAGGCTATGGATTTGTTAGCCTTTAGTCACATTTTCCGTTTCATTGAATTTTCAGCCGTTTAAATTTAGTCCCCACAAATTTGTGACGGATTGCTTTGGCCCAGCGCTGAGTACTCTTTCAAAATTGATTTTATGAGGAGACACGGAGAGTGCTCCCATTTCCAAGCACCCCCGCACTGTTGACCTATTTTCAGTTAAGATGAGGTATACATAAATAAAGCTTCAACATATTCCATGAAAATCAAATTGTTTTCTGTGAATATTTGTTGTGGTTGTTCCCCTCTTCGAGCCTCTTTGGCGCACACACCTGTTCCACCTGCCACTGTAGCGAAAACATACGCCCACTCGAGCTTAGCACGCCGATTAGGCTAATCTGATGGGTGGTAATTCTCGTTAATTCCTGATTAGACAACAAAAGCCAATTGTTAACCCATATATATTCGTATATTTTTGAGACTCTACCTAGCGAACACTTTTTGGTTTGTTGTTGTTGTCGAGACCACGCCTATGGATATACGCATACTCCAGATTGTTGGCCTTTCCATATCGCGTTACCGAGCCCAGGTGATAGGCCGCCGGGCCAGGGTCCCACACTAGCACGATTAGGACGATTACAAGAACGGGATCGGCTACCAAATGAATACTGAGGGCTACGCGGCGTCCTGGAGTCGCACTTCGCATAGCCGAAGCAGCTGGGCAGCATGTAAGCGCCGGGTCCGGGTCCTTGTACGATATTTAGAAATTAGCTTCATTTGAAATATGTATCAAAACACCCTTTGATTCTTACCTAAAGGTCTGTGCGACATATTGGGGTCCAAAATTTTAAAAAGGGAAAATTTTAAATAAATTTTTAGTTGTTTGCCGAACGGGTATCAAGTGAGGAATGAAAACATACAACAAATCCTTCCCAAAATCAAAACAGCGAAAAATCAAGGCCAGTTTGATGGGGAACAACATCAATAAATGAAAAGCTCAATAAACTCCTAATCATAATCCTAATCACAATCATAGACTGCCGCTATCAATAATGCTTCTTGTCTTGACCACTCTTGGGGAACTGCCCCAGGTGTTTAGATAGGTTGTCAGCTTGTCCAGCTTGTAGCTTCAGCTCCGTCTGCGCCGGTCAGTCCGTTGGCAGCCAATCAAGCGAACGGTCAGCGAGGAGAATGTCTGCCAGCAAAGGAGTTTGGCTGTTCGCAGCACTGCTGCTGATAGCTGCAATCGGTAAGTGCCAATGAAAACCATAAAAGCAAATTGGAAAACGGAACTTCCTTACCACCTGCACGGTTCTTTAGGTGGCCGGGGGGAAACGGTGCCGTGCAAAGTGAAGGATGTGGAGCAGGGAAAGGTGTGCGTGTGCACTGCGGACTACTGCGACTACTTGGAGAATCCCACGCTGACGGACGTCACAGAATTCGCACTGGTTTCCAGCTCCAAGCAGGGTCTGCGATTCGCCACATCCAGCGGACACTTCGAGGCTGGGGCCAAGTATACTGTGCAGGACTATGTGGAGCCTGTCCCAGAGGCCAAAAACGAGACCATTTTCTCGCGCCTGCTGGATCAGGCCTTGGCCAGTGCCTTCATCTTGGAGTCCCGCGAGAGCAACATCACCCGCTACGTGACACTAAAAGTGAATCGCAGTAAGACACACCAGACAATGGAGGGTTTTGGTGGCAGCTACACCGGTGCCGTATCCTACCTAGTGGACAATTTCAAGCAGTCTGAACTCGCCGATCATCTGTACAAGTCCTTCTACGCGGAGGAAGGACTGGGCTTTAATCTGATGCGAATATCGATCGGCGGCTGCGACTTTGACCTCAGTGCCTGGGCCTATGCCGAGGAAGAGGGCAACACAGAGCTCGACGGCATGGACGAGCTAGACGAACGCGATGTGCTGCGTGTGGGCCACATCAAACGGCTAGTCGAGGTCTCGGCCGTAAAGAATCTACGAATTAAGGGTGCGGCCTGGAGTGCCCCGCCATGGATGAAGACCAACAACAGGTGGACAGGATTCGGACGACTCAAGAAGCAGTATTATCAGACCTGGGCCGACTACCACCTCAAGTGGCTGAAACTGATGCAGGATAATGGACTGCCCATCTGGGCCATTTCCACAGGCAACGAGCCACTGAACGGCATCTTCTTTATGTACTTTGTGCAGTTCATGAGCATGGGCTGGACCCCGCAGACGCAGGCCGTCTGGTTGAACGACTATCTTGGGCCAACGATCCGAAACTCTGAATTCAAGGACATCGTCCTGTTCGGCAACGATGATCAGCGCTACTCCTTCCCACACTGGTTCAAAATGGTAAGAAACGCAAGAGATTCCCCGGACAGCTTCGAGGTTCATGGCATAAATTCCAGATGAATTACACGCGCCCCAATTCGGTCGATTACCTGGACGGATTATCGCTGCACTGGTATTGGGATGAGATTTTCGGCAACAGTCTTATCGATGAGACCACCGCTTACGCGCCCGACAAACTGCTAATCGTCTCCGAGTCGTGCATCGGCGATAAGCCCTGGCAGAGAGCAGCCCCCGTCCTGGGCAGCTGGGAGCGGGCTGAGAAATACAGTCGCGCCTTCTTGCAGAACATTCAGCATGGCTTCCACGGTTGGATCGATTGGAATATCATTTTGGACGAGGAGGGCGGCCCCAACTATGTGGACAATACTGTCGACGCCCCAGTCATTGCCAATACCACAAGTACGTTCAGTTAATCCCTGAATTTAGCAACTACTTACCGATTCCTTGCAGCCAATGAGGAGTTCTACAAGCAGCCCATGTTCTATGCCATGGGCCACTTCTCCAAGCTGGTGCCAGAGGGTTCCATACGGGTCGATGCACTGCCCAGCAATGTCAATCTGGATAGCGTTGCCTTTTTGCGGCCGGACAAGAAGATTGCCGCCGTGCTCTTCAACAGCGGACGCGCCGATTTGGACATTACTGTGGTGGACAGTGAGCGCGGCCAGTTTACGGTCAATGTGCCCGCCAAGTCCATTCACACCTTGCTGTACAGCTGAACACATTTTTGAAATAAACAAGTTACATAATTGGATGCCATGCGGTTTTCTTTGGCTTACAAGTGCGAAAGGGATGGCTATTGGCGAAGGGCTTGACAAAGGTATATTGGAAAGAGGGTACGGTTCAAGGGGTACGGGTACACTAATTTGTGTGCCAAACTCTCTTTTGCTTTCTTTGTATCACGCCCCTTCTACGCATTAAACACAGATGTGGGCGCGGTTCAGAGTCATTTCGCGCTCATTGCCTTTACCTTTCTATTAATAGACCTTGAGTTAGACGTGCGAAAGGGATAGCTAGAGTGGTCGACTACCGTTCGATAGCCAGATCACCTGTTTCTTTCGTTTTCCTCCTCCTCCCATACAAACCTCGCGCGCCCGCTCTCTGGCGTTTGCATAACTTTTACTTTTGATTGCGTGCGCCGATTTCCAAGTGGGGATGGATCGCATCGTGCCGACAACTTGCCGGCTACTTTATCAGATCAACAGCTGTGCCCGGGTCAAGTGGCAGCACAGAGACACAAACAACTTGAGCGAAATTCGGTTTGCCGCGACGCTTGATTAGGGAAACGCTGGACTGTCTCTCCGCTTGGACTCAGTCGAGTAAACGCTTCCGAACGAGACTCATCGCTTCACTGCCTCTGCTGCAGTTTGACTTCCACTGCAAACGAAAAACATGAAAATAATTTGGCTATGCTTTCTTTTTGCAGTGGCCGCAATCTGTGCCCAGCAGGCAGGTGAGTGAAGCACAAAAGTGATAAGTGCCTACCTGTTCACCTCAATTGTGCCATTTGCAGGTGCTGCCTCGACACAGGTGCCCTGTGATCTGCGAGAGACAGTGCATGGCAGTGTTTGTGTGTGCAACAGCACCTACTGCGATTACTTGGAGCAGCCGGAACTTAATGAGGGCTCAAAGATTGTCGTGATTAGCTCCAGCAAGGTGAGTGGTCAGGTCTCAAGAGCTCGCTGTGTGATTGATGCATATTTTGGTTTTCTAGGATGGCCTGCGCTTCCAAGTAACCACTGGGGACCTTTCCAGCAAGAGGCCTTTGGTGGTGGAAGACAAACAGTCGACTGATGAGAACTTTCACGCCGAGGCCATTGTTGTGGATCAGCACAGAGCCTGGCTGAATTTGGCAAGCATTCCCCAACGATTGTGTAGCTATTCCAAGCGTTCAAGCGTCTGTCAAACCTCACTAACCCGCATTTTTAATCGCAGTTATCAATGCCAGCGTGAAGACTGTAAGAGTTTCGGTTGAACGGGAGCTGCGTTATCAGAATGTAAGCATCTTTGGCGGGGCCTTCACTGGAACTGTCTCACATTTACTCCAGCAACTGCCGCCCGGCCTGCAGGATCATGTCTACAAGTAGGGCCCGAATCAAGACTGCTCCACAATTGCTAAATGAAAACTGTTTCCCCTTTGAAGATCATATTTCCACAAGGATGGCATTGCCTACAACAGCATCCGCATGTCCATAGGAGGATGTGACTTTGATTTGGAGCCCTGGGCCTACAACGAGCTGCCACGCAATGATGCCAGCCTGTCGAATTTTACTGAACTCGATCCGCGAGATCTGCAGAAAATTGAACAACTGAAACGCCTCAAGAGCGTGGCCCAAATGGAGGAGCTGAAAATCATGGCCGCTGCCTGGAGTGCGCCTCCCTGGATGAAGACCAACGACCGCTGGACAGGTTTTGGCCAGCTAAAAACGGAATACTACCAGACCTGGGCCCTCTATCATCTCAAGTGAGTGGGAAAGAACTTTCGTACACTGTGAATGCCATTCATTTGGGGCTGTTGGAATCTGTTGCAGATTTCTCGAACTGATGCAGTCTAAAAATATGCCGATTTGGGCCATATCCACTGGCAATGAGCCGCTAAACGGCGTCATCGGCTTCTTCTTTGTGCACTTCATGAGCATGGGCTGGACGCCCTGGCAGCAGGTAGGAGGCAAGCCAAACGTTCAATCATGATTCTGGCTATTAAGCATCTTGAAATATTTACGACCAGGCAATATGGCTGAGCGATCATCTAGGTCCGACCATTAGGAACTCGACGCAGCGGCCTGTGCTCATCTTTGGCAACGATGACCAGCGGTACACGTTTCCCTCGTGGTTCCACAAGGTGAGGTGATGCCTGAAAATTTTTCGATTAAACACTGAAGACAGTCCCCATTTATTTTAGATGCGTTCATCCCGCAGCAATTCGTTGTCGTATTTGGATGGCCTGGCCGTCCACTGGTATTGGGACGAGCTGGTTGGCCCCCAGCTCATTGATCACGCACACAGGGAGCTGCCCAATAAGCTGCTGCTCAACACAGAGTCCTGCATTGGCGACAAACCCTGGCAGACGCACGGACCCGAGCTGGGCAGCTGGCAGCGTGGCGAGAATTATATGCGTGCCTATATTCAGGATTTTCAACACAATTTCAACGGATGGCTGGACTGGAATCTAGTGCTGGACGAGAAGGGCGGACCAAACTATGTGAGCAACTTTGTGGACGCACCGATAATTGTGAATGCGACGAGTCGCACTGAGATGTACAAGCAACCGATTTACTATGCCATCGGGCACTTCTCCAAGTTTCTGCCGGCGCAATCGGTGCGCATCGAGACGCGGATCGAGGGCGAAAACAATTCCTTTTCGCAGTTAAGTGTGGTGGGCTTCCAGCGTACGGACGGCAGTGTGGCGTTGATCGTCTACAATGGGTAAGTGGCGCGCGTGTCTGCGCATCCTGCGCATTTCTATTTTGGGCCTCATCTGCGACGGTGCCGCTTAAGTGCGTCAACTTAATTGCCTACAGCGCTGCACCGCTGCAGCGTTGAACATTTATGAATGCCATGCCCAGCCCATGCCTCTAATGGATCTGCTCTGCCTTGCACTCTCTTGCAGCCAAAATCTGCCAGTGGATGTGGCGCTCAATGATAGCCAAAGTGGTGCATTTAATCTACGCCTTCCGCCCCGCTCCTGGCACACAGTGCTCTATAAATGAGGTTCCGAGAAGTGCATCGAGTGGAGTTTCAGATAAGTTAAGTAAGGTTGCGAGTCCAGCTGCCGCTGCCCAAAGGACCAATTAGGATAGACGACATGTCTCATGTTTGCGCGACACCACAGCTCAAGTGACAACAAAACGGAAGCCAATAAATTGCCCTCAACAGGATGGGCATTGGGCATGGGGAGGGGGATGGCGATGAGGATGGAGGATGTAATGCTCGCTTGCAAGCATCTCATCTCTCTATGACAACGGAAATTTGTTTAAGCTGCTCAATTTGCCGTAACGCGTCTGTTTACAATGAAATTTCATTTGCCGTTTAATGCTCTTTCCCGCCTCTCCAACTAGAACCCGAATCTGTTTTATCTGGGGATGGGGGAACGGCAAAGTACAAACGGCCACTAGTAGGCAGCATATAGATATTTATATTTCGGATCAAGTTGAGTGACAACTGCCAGTCGAGCGGCAACAACCGAAAAATATCTGGCTGGCATGCATCTTTTTTTTTTTAGTTTTACTCTAGGAATTAGTTTTTCTTTTTTTGTGTTGTTCAATATATGTATATGTATGCTCTATAAATATGATTGTCAATTGAGCGCTAAGCAAATGCATTTCCCTCTGTGCATCGCACTTGGCGCACAAAATGGGGCGTTTTATGTAAGACTATAAATTAAAACATGAAACGTTTATACGAGCCATATGACTTGTGTGGCTTTGTGGCTTCGGATACATTTGATAATGCAGTATGAATTGATTCATCAGGGCCTGGGTGCTTACCCTTTTGTACTTGAAATCCATTCTTTGTGCATCCATCATACGCGTAGTATGTGGCATATGCTTGGGAACAGCACTTGAGATATGCTTACAACAAAATACACTTATCAGCAATGAGCGTGTCAATTACATGCCGCCTCAACTCGTCTCTCTGCCCTTCGTTGCTCGGAAAAGGAAAGTGCCAACAGCCAGCAATGTGTCGGGTGTTGTAGTGCAGTCAGTTAATGAGGCTCATTATTAATATGGCTGCGATATGTTCACGTCGGGAGCAATGACGAGTGCAGGCTGCAAAGGGAATTTACACGCGCTGCCCTGTCATCAGGAAGATCAAAGAACAGTCGTCTCTCCAGTGGCAGTCGCCATAATGTGTTATGAGTTATTGGCGGAGTGGCAAACTGATCCGTTTCCTGGCCGCCCGATCGCTGGCTTGTCAGCAGCTGACAGCACCATGTCACAGCAATTTGCTCGATCTGTAGGTGTTCCATGTCAACTTCATGGCATCCCATGGCATCCCATGGCATCGCATCGCATCGCCACCTACCCGCGATGTCAGTGTAATGCCCTGTGACAGCCACTCAAATTGAATGCTCAAACACACACACTAAACTAAACTGGATACTATTTAGCCCCAGATTTATTTCGGGCCTTAAATAGAGATCGCATTTCAGGGACAGAGAGTAAAAGAGAGATGTAGGAGGAGCGAGTCCCCCGGCGAAGAGTGCACTTAAGTGACTCAAGGGGACAGGCGCCGGATGTGCGCTATCATTGCCCTGTCCTCTGCCCCATGTTCCATGTCCCAGTCCCCTGTCCCAGTCCCAGTCCCTGTCCCAGAGCTGGAGAAAAGTGCAAGTTATAAATACGAGTAGATACAGATACAATCCATGGAGTGGGAGTATCATGGTGTATGGGTTATTTCCCAGATAAGATTAGATTATGGAGCCCAGCACCATCGAAAGCGGGCAATAGGCAAATTAGCCAACCGTATCCAACCATCATAAGCATAGCCATGGGCCAAATGTCATCAAACAGCGCACAGCCATCAGCAATATGCGACGTCCGCTCTCGCCGACACTGGCCAAGCTGGCCGAGAAGGAGGTGAACGAGACGCCCGACCGCATCCAGCAGGACATCATCATCCTGCGCGTGTGGATACGCCAGCAGCCGCATCTGCGTGCCCGCACCGACGACGACTTCCTGATTGCCTTCCTTCGTCGCTGTCGGTATAGTCTGGAGCAGACCAAGCGGCGCATTGATCGCTACTTTACCCACTACAACCTCTTCCCGGAGATCATGCACAATCGGTGTGTGACCCAGCGACTGCTGGACATCAACCGTTTGGGGTGAGCCATAAAACTGATAGAAATGACGATGGAATCATCTCTAATCTCCCCGCACTCTTTCAGAGTTTGCCTGTATCCCGATATGCCAAAGGGCGACAGTCGCACTGCCCTGTTCATCGCTCGCTTCGGCCACTTCGATCCGAATCTCTATATGCTGCGCGAGATCTATCACTTCACCTCAATGGCCATGGAGATTGTTGCCCTGGAGAACGATTATGCCTCACTGGCGGGCATCTGTGAGATAATCGACTTGGAGGGCGTCAGCTCGGACAAAATGCGACGCTTCGACAAGGTTCTCTTTCGCAAATGGTGGAACTGGCTGTACAACTGCGGTCCGCTGAAGGTGAAGGAAATGTACATCATCAACATGCCCAAGGACATACAGGGAACGATTATGTTCCTCTATAATATTCTCAGCATGCAGGTTAACTATCCGGTAAGCCATCGAATGCATTAAAGGAAGCCATCAAGCATATATGTATGTATTCACCCTCATTGTAGATACGTGTCCTGAAGTCCAGTGAGGAGCTGATCGAGCATATTGGCAAAGAGACGCTGCCGGAGGAGTATGGCGGCACCAATGGCCACATGGGCGAGTGCATGGCCTACATGCAGGACCTGTTGAACAGCTATCGCGGCTACTTTGACCAGGACTGCAACTACGGTACCATCGAGGATCTGCGACACGACGAGATCACCATATACGAGGCAGAGTTCGGGGCCAGCGGTTCCTTCCGCAAGCTGAACTGGGACTGACATTGACCCAAATCGCAGAGCCCTCTCTCTTCGGGGACACCTCCAGATATACCCCATACATTTAATGCACACAGAACTACGTATCTATATCCAAGCCCTGGTGTAGTCAGTCGATCAATTAAAGATAACACAAACTTATCGCCTATATACGTACTACCATATCTATGCACCCACCCATTCAGCTATCCGTACACCCGTAGGTACATATGTCGCTGTATCCCCGTCTGCGCTGTCGTATCTAACAGGGTTGCCGTTCGTTCCGTTGCTAATTTACAAGGTGTTCCCCGATTAGATATCGCTTAGCGGCAGCGATGCCGGCAGCAGGGTAGCAGCACCCACCGCGATGCGTCAGTGGTCTGGGCATTCAGCTAACAGCTAGACAAGCGCCAGCATGGCCACCGCACTGAGAACCCTAGACCCCGAACTGTTGGCCCTGGCCAAGACCGAGTGCAATGAGGAGCAGTCGCAGCGCGAGGCGATGGTGGCCACGCTTCAGGTGTGGATTACCAAGTCGCCGCACCTCAAGGCCCCCACCCATGAGCAGCTGATCCTGGCCTTCCTGCGCCGCTGCCGCTACAGCCAGGAGGAGGCCAAGCGTCGCTTCGACAACTACTACTCCCTTCGGAGCGTGTTCCCCGAGGTGCTCGGCTCCCGGCAGGTGGATGAGGCCCTTCTGACGCAGCTGCAGCGCGGGTCGGTGGAAGTTGAACCCAGGGCAGAGAGAATGGAATTCATTTTTGATCTATCCACAGCATTCATGTGATACCCGCTCGTCCAGTGAGCCCCCAGGGACCGCGGGTGATCATTTCCCCGTTCCGACAAATCGATCCCAAGAAGTCAAATCCACGCGAGGCCTTCAAGCTGGTCTTCATTCTGCTGGAGCTGCTGGCCCTGGAGTGCGACAATGCGACAATTTCGGGCCTCATCTGGGTGGTGGATGCCCGCGATGTGACCATGGAGCAGATGCTGCAGTACGATCCGTTTCTTCTAAAGAAGGCATTCGCCCTGGTGGATCAGTGCCTGCCCCTGCGCTTTGTAGAGATTCACATGATCAATATGCGGCGCGAGGGACAAACTATCTTCAATTTCGTGACCAAATTTCTGCCCTCGAAGCTGCCATTCAAGGTGGGTTGTGCATCCCCACTGATGCCCGAGTGGATCCTAATCGATTTCCATTCCCTTTGCAGTTTGTGGTGCACAAGAAATCGGAGGATCTGTACGAGCACATACCGCGGGAGGCCATGACCATCGAGTATGGTGGCACCAATGGCTATCAGGCCGAGGCCCTGGACTATTGGCGGCAGCGTCTGTTGGACCACAAGGATTACCTTGCCCGCGATGCCCAGCACGGGACCAATGAAAAGTTGCGCGTGGGCCTGGCCAGTGCCTGGGCCAACGGTGAGCTGAACGGCATGAGCGGCTCCTTCCGCAAACTGGAGCTGGACTGAGACCGAATGTGACGCTGTTCATTGTTTCAATTATTGTTTAATTATGTGCTAAAGCTATACAAATAATTTAAGTCAATTCCTATGTACTGCTGGTCACTGGGGTATCTCGTGTATCCTCTTATAAATTAACTTTACAATTACCTAATGGCGATGGGGATGGTCGATGGGGATGGGCATGGGCATGGGGATTAGTGCTAGTGCTTAGTGCTAAGTGCTGCATTTTCTCTTGAAGCTCGCATGTAGACTTGTGGCCTGCGTTGTGGCTCCCATTGTTGGCGGCGTCTTCGTGGACACTGGCGCGGCGGTGGTCTTCACAGGACTTGATGTTGTGCTCTTGTTGATGCTCTGGACAATGAGATTCAGGCAGTCCAAACTCGAACCATTGGCGTTCCCATCAAAGTCTATCAATGGAGAATGGATTGCTTAATTGGAATCATTCCTGAGGAGTTTGTGCGGATGTGCAATCTTACCCGTAAATTGTCCATACTTTTCCATGTGCTTGTTGTAAAAACTGAGTTTATCTTCCAGATAAGCGCCGGCATAGGAGCTCTGCAATGGAATCGGGGAAATATACGTTTTAGTTTTGGCCTCTAATGAAATTGGCAAAACAATAAATTACACAAAAATGTCGCAGAGCACGTCAGAATCTCTTTCCTTTCTCTCCATCTCCCGACGGCCTGTCATGTTGGCCAACAAATGCCATACAAAATGCAGTCTAATGATGAGATTAAGCCAAAATTTATGCCAGCATCGTGCAACGACACCGACACCGACACCAAGCAAAGTAAAGATTCCACATGGCCACAAAGTTGCAAGCCAATTAAAATGCATTGAACCACCGCCACCCCATTGTGCATTGTCTGGGGATCTTTTTCGAGAAGTGTTGAATACTCTTCTTAGCAATTAAATTAATTTGATGCGATATTTTTCGGTGCGCATACGCAGACGACATGGCATCCGGAGACACGGAGATGCGCTCGAGATTTCATTAGAAAAATTTGCATTAACGCTTTTGCTAAGCAAATTATAATTGCCACTTCTGGGTGGGTTTTCCCTCCCCCCCGTTGCCAGAGAATGCCGTCAGTGCGTCTACAAGGATCGCATGGGGATCCGAATCGGGAGCAACAGAGCAACAGTCCATAAGTGTGTCTGGCTGTGTGTGTGTGCGTGTGTACATCTTTTGTATTTTTATATTTAGAAGAACAGAAGCGAACCGAACAGAACTGAAGTGTAGAGCACAACAGAACAACTCACACTGCACTTTTATAAAGCGATTTATCATTTTCCAAGCGTTTAGTGACAGCCTGCGCTCGATATGCGACAACTCGAACAACACGAACACACACACACTGCCATACTGTCTGTCTGTCTGTCTGTTCGCCGTTCCCCGTTCCCCATTCGTTTATGTGGAATTTTGGTATATATGTATATTCCACTTTACCCAGTAGCAAACAGTTCTTCATATAGATATATCATGTGTTTATATCTGAATGAAATGCCACTTATCATTTAAGCATTTCGTTGCGTAAAGATTTTAAGCTGCTTTTTGGCGCGCCTCCTCTTAGAAGTTCCCATTCACTCTCTGCCTCGCTTGTAACGGATATGCGGCATTATGCGATTTGTAAACCGCAAGCAACATGCACTTTTCCCACAAGACACATAATATTTATGGTTGTGGAACGTTTGGCGATGTCATAATTCTCGAGAATTTCGGTTACAAGCAAAAGTCCCCCAAGGTTTCTGTTTTGCTCTGCTGTGAACACATATCATAAGTTACTGCCGCATAAACCTTGGGAATTGTCTTTCAGTTTTTTGATTATCAGACATTGATTGAGCTGTAAGACCAGATTTTGATAGCCAGACATTAGTACATACGTATGTACCCATTGTCAAAATATTATAATCAAAGGAAACCCTATCGCCACCTGAGTCACTTGCACCCACCCACCTCTATACGATCCACTTGACTCTCCATTTGGTTGAGTCATTTGCACCCAGAAGTTCCAGCTATCAATATTTACGATTATAATGCCAATTACCATTGAAATCGCTTGCTTGGCGATTTCAGTATTTCGAATTCTGCCAGGTGTTGTACTCGCTTTGAATGTCTTTGAGTACTGCAATAAATTGAGGTGCGATAAGCAAATCTATTGGAACCTACAGATATACTATGCGCTCGAGTGCCGGTGCAAACAAAGTTCAAACACAAGCGATACCATCAACCCATTGAGTTTGAGGTTTATAAATATACACAAGCTCCAGGTTCTGTTTGCCTGGTCGCTCGTTCCCGCTGCCCGTTTGCCCGAACCCGAGCGAATGAATGGATATGGATGAGATGGATGGATTGCCAGAGTCTGAGACTAAGTCTCAAAATGCATTTCAATGTGTCTGCACGTTTGGCGTATTGCCAGTTTTTAATCAAACTATGGCCGCACATTAATATCTGCCAATGGGGGGCGCACTATGTACTTCTCTCCCCCCAATACTCGTACCGTACAGAGCAGCAGCATACAAATATGCAAAGTTTTATGGTAAATTAACAAATTTGTACATTAAAAATGTGAAAAACTTAAACAAACTGCATGGAAATTACTCAACCCAGTCGCCCGAGTCCCGTCGCAATGAAAGCAAAAGGGGGCGTGTGAGTTTAACATCAAGATGGCAAAAATGTTTGCATAATTGTTGACAATTTGTTGGCCTGTCACATCTCCTTCTTATATGCCTCTCCCGCCGTGCCCCCTCCCGTGTGTCTGTGTGCCCCACTCAAGCTGAGGCCCATGTCCATGTCTTGCAACACCTTTCGAAGAGCGAGCGAACGTACAGAACGAACACCCCAAGATCTTGTCATGTTTTTCCTGTGCAATTTGTCAACTGACACATTTTCTGTTTGTTCCCGTTCCCGTTCGAAACTATTATGAAATAGATGCGATCCCCCCGAACATGGAAAACCAAACGAACGGCCGAGAAAGACTCCTCGTAGCTTTCTCCTAAAAGGTGTTTTTTTTCCAGGGCTGCCCTCGAGGCAAACGTATTTGTTGTAATTAATTTACAACACGATTTTCATTTAGGAGACGGCCCTTAGAACGGGGCATATAAAAAGAAAATTTATTTATTGCATTCAACTAAATGCAGGCAACGACCTCCCATTCAATCCCCATCCCATCCCTTTTCCCTTTCAAACATACATAAATTCCCCAGCTATTTGTCCTCTATTTTCTACTGCATTTCTTTTGATTTCATTTTGGAAAAGTTTTCTCTCCAGATGCTGCCTCTTTAGCGGGTGATCATAATTCATAAATTCAAATTCACGGTAATACGTAGAATCTTGGGAGGAGGTAGGGTGTTACGTAGAGGGTTGCTGCCGGGAGCTTATTAAGTCGCACGTCAGCGAAGGCATAAATTTTGGTCAGCAAATACAACCGGGTATCGGATGGGATGGGATGTGGATGTGGATGGGGATAAGATCTGGGATGTGGGGATAAGATCTAGGTGGGGACGATGTATATTCTATTTTCATGTTCAGCAAAGCGGCCAGACCCTGAGATTTTGATGAATGTGCGCGTCGCCAAAGAAAAATGTATGAAAACGTTTTTCAGGCATGAGAATTTTACGAGAAAATAATTGCGGAACATTTTCCCCTCCATCTCCACCGCAATACGCGCACCTCTCTCCTTTACTTTATCTCTTAATATTAATTGGCGTTCAGTGAAAAACTTACCAGATAATCGGACTGGCAGCTTTTGCCGCTTAGACTCGGCGCCAGGTTGTCGCCATCGCGTGAGGGTGAGGATTCCTGTTAGCCAAAGAAAGATCGATCATTGGAGGTGATGGAGAGGGGACTCCTGTGATGTTATAACTACCTGAAGCAGATCCTCCAGGCTCTCGATATACTCGATGGCATTGCGCAAGATCTCAACCTTGGGCAGGCGCTGGTTGGGATTGGATGATGTGCGTCGCTTCAGTATCTCGAAGGCCTCGTTAACCTAGAATGTGAAAAGAAATCATCAATTAACGGAGATCGTAGAAATCATGGAAATCCATTAGGAGCATCATAAAAACACAGCCAGCCCCATCATCAGGCGTGTTCCTCTTTAAGTGGCTGTTTAATAAAACATATTTCAAATTAAATAGAGCATACAATTTTCAACAATTAAACCATTTCGCCCCAGGGTCTTCTCTTTATGACAGCCACCAGTGTCAGAGCTGACAACGATCGAGAGTCCCTGTTCCATCCTCCCCCTTTCGGTTTATGATATTTCGATTCCATTTGCATCGGTTAATGTCTCTATGCGGAGCTATAAATACGTTTGGGGTTCATCTACAACTTTTACGATTGTCAAACTCATAAATGTTGATGTTTAACTCTTGGTCTTGGCAAATCTTCTGGTTTTATGCCTGTTGTTGGGTGGTTTCCCTATTTCTTCTTTTACGGCCTCTGGGCATGGGCCCACCCCGGTGGTTGGCAAACAAACGATGGAAGGATGGCAAGTGGCAAAGTGTTAATTTGTGTGGTGTGTGGCGGTGGTGCAACAAAGTTGCAGTTGAGTACTGCTGGGGATTGTCCGCGATTATAGTAAACTATTTTCGATCCACTAAATAAGGAAATGTGAAGCAAAATTTCAAATTGCGGAAGAAGATAAGAAGCCAAGGAGTGAACAAAAATTATCTTCACTCTTGTGCATTGTTTTGCGACATTTTTGTATGAGTTGTTCCTGAGAACTAAACAGGAGTTTTTATATAATTATCTTCATCTTTTTTTTATCTTTATTTTCTATATTTTCTATAATTTTGCAAGCAGATGTGATATCGTAGAACCAATCAACTGCATAACAACTTAGTTATAGATTAACTGAAAGGATACATATATTTTATTGAGCTATATTTTGCGGATAACAGGAATAAAATAAAATACTTCAATGAAGGGATGAGCGTCCGAACTATAACTTTACTGAAAGATTACACATCTAATCTTTTTTATAGCTTTTAAAAGTAAATTTATTTCCATTATGCAAGACATTTTTCAATAAAAAGAACGCTCTAAGTGTAAGACTTCTTCTGATAATATTCCAAAATGATACTGTCACCCATTTCTAATCATTTAAAGAATCCTTTGTAATGGTTTCCGAACATATGT